AATATCATATACTTAAAAAAAAACATTTTAAAGGGATTTGATTAGGTTAATCGTGAAACTACATCTTAGGCATATATTAGCAAGTTCAACATTTACACTAGATGGAATTGAAAATAAAAATTATTTTTTGAAGTGAAGAAATTAAATAAATTTTCATTCTGTCATCTGTCATATCTGTAGAGACACATAGACTTAAAATATAGATATAATTTATCTTGATGATTTTAATCTAGTGTTGTTACAAGAAACAATTATGCATACTTATCAGATTCTATAAACAGCCTAGCCAAATTATAAGTATTAGAAAGAGAAACATCTTGGTTAATTTTTAATTTTAAACTACTAATATCTACTCTGAACACTCCTCACATTGTTGTACTAATGCTAATCAAATTTCAGTACCCTGAAAAATGTTAGGCTAAAGATAACTCAGGAAAGAAACACCACAGGAAAAGATTCATGTAGAATTTTTATGATGTTTTGTCACTTCACTTGCTGAGACGATGGAAGTGAGTTATAGGGAAGGGAGTGAGTGGAGCTGTGCTGCTGCTGAGATTCCCCAAGTGGCTCTGCATCCCTCCTTGAGAGTTAGTCACATTTACACACAACAGCTCATCAAGCAGGACCAAGGGCAACAACATCTGCCTGTAGAAAATGCTTATTGCTTCCCCTGTTGCCCCTAAAATACCTGAGGAAGAGCAGGATGGAAAGTGCTCTCTTGGCCTAAAAATCACAGTGCTTGTAGCAGAGATGATCTGGACCTGAAAGACAAATCAATTCACTTGGGACAACAAGATGCTCATGACTCCCTTTGTGGAAAGGGCGATGGCTTTGGCAGCAGCCTATATGGAAACACCGGGGTAGAAGAAGGGCAGCAGCAACCAGAGCATCGCCTCTTCCCCATCAGCTGCCTTGCCTGGCTTTCTGCATCCTTCCCCTTTGTCTGCCAATCCCTGTACCACCAGTTCCTTCTCTGCCAGCCGGGGAGCATGGACAGCCGCTGTCCTGGTGCTCGCAGGGAGGAGGAGGCCCCACAGAAGGGCCCATGGCCCTGCTGGGAGGCTGCGAACCATCCTGGGGGCAGCCATAGCCTCTACCCGCAGTGCCAGCAGCGCCCAGGGCAGCCCTCACTCCCTGCCTCCTCAGCAGTCCAACATGAACTGGGTGGGCGGCAGTCGGTAAGTGAAACTCTTCAAAGGCAACAGAAACAGCTCCATGATGTGTCAGTGTCCCTCACAGACTGGGCACCACCATGGTGTGTTTAACAACCCTGATGGCCCCTCACAAACCAGGCACTGCTATGTTGTGTGTGGTAGCCCTGGTGTCCCCTCACAAACCAGGCACAGCCATGGGGTGTGTTTCAGGCATCATTTCCCCTCACAAAAACTGAGCACAGCCATGGTGTGTGTTTCAGGCATCATTTCCCCTCACAAACTGAGCACAGCCATGATGTGTGTTTCAGCATCATTTCCCCTCACAAACTGAGCACAGCCATGGTGTGTGTTTCGGGCATCATTTCCCCTCACAAACTGAGCACAGCCATGGTGTGTGTTTCAGGCATCATTTCCCCTCACAAACTGAGCACAGCCATGGTGTGTGTTTCAGGCATCATTTCCCCTCACAAACTGGGCATAGCCGTGGTGTTTGTGACCAAACGAGCGTCTCTCCATGGAGCAGTAGTGCCCCGGTGTGTGTGTTTCAGGCCTGGCGTTCCCTCTCAGACCAGCAGGGCTGTGGTGTGTGACAGCCCGAGGCCCCTCCTGAGCCGGGCTGTGAGGAGGTGCGGCTGCCCTCCCACCTCAGCCACGGGGTCACGTTTGGGCTCAGTGTCTCTCACAGACAGGGCCTGGATGAGGCCTTCCTCACACCCTCACAAAAAGCAGTGGTTACCATTTGGGGAAAAGGATGTACAGGTATTGAGATTCACTGAAATAATAAAGCATAATAAACTGAGTTGTAATGATAAAGAAAGAAAAAAGATTAATTTCTCCTTTGGGTGGTGTGTCCTCTGCCAATCTACTAGAAATGCAAACCCCACAGATTTTGTCAGCCATTGGGAAGCAGCATTGCTGAGCACAGCTTTGTAATCATCCAGGATCTATGCAGAATCAAACTAACACCTTACCCATCTGAAAGTCTTCCCAGCAAATTGAGTTTTCTGAATGTTGCCTCTGTGAAGCAGGAGGAAGGGAGAGTTTCACTTGGAAATATCCCCAAAACACCATCCCAAGCTTTGTCCTAAATGCCTGTCTCCCATACCCTCTGTAAGAAAACTCAGTGTACAGGAGTATTGCACCCATTTAGCAAATACAAATCAACCTGCAGCTTGCTGCTGCTGGTCATATCTGTCAGGGTTTCTTGGGTGAATCTGAGGTTTACATTTTAGGTGTCAGAAAAACTACACATCACTGGGTTCCTCCCACTGCAAGGGTGAATGTTATATGCATGTGTTTGGAAAGTTTTCTCTAACTTTAAGCAAAAGGTAATTCCATATTTTTAACCCTCACAAGAAGTCCTAATCTTACTGACCTAACGACTGCAGTCAGGCTCACTCTGCTCATGGAACACTGACCCCAACTTCCAATTTTATACACCAAGTCCTATAGGCATTTCATGTAAGACTATGTTTGACAGGTGAGACAAGAAGTTGGAGGTATAACTGTCTCCTATATTGCACAAACAACAGCAACTTGTAGTGTCAATCTAGTTTGCTTTCCTATTTTACAAATGGTCCCCAATATTCTGGAAAGTCCCAAAATGTAAAAGCTCATATAGTGCTCCTTTTATTTGCTAATACCGTTTTGTAGCTATGTTGCAGCATGACAAAGAAAATTAGCAGAAAATAATATATTGACAAAGATTTCTTAAGTTTTAAGGAATTATAAATTGATGAAATGTGCATTACAAGTCAAATGACTAAAAGCTTTTTCTGTTTTCTTTTTTCATGTTAAATGTATTTGGTAGCCTAATAATGTATGTGGTCTTAACCCTACTGGAGTAAACTGGGATCAGTCAAAATTACTTCAACAGAGATATGTTGACTTTACTACCTGAAGGTTTGATCCACTATAACATAACAAACATAACATAGCATAACATGTGACATAACATTACATAATATATAACATTAATGTATTTGTATCCTAAAACCTCAGAACCATTGATGACTAATTCAATCTATGACTCAAGATTATACTTTTGCAATTAAAATTATAATTATTTGCATTTTACAGAAGCAGACTCATATTAAAGCAAGAAAGGAGAAAACAAAAGGTAAACCATTTTGGCCATATTGGATTTTGTATTGTTACACATAACTTTAGGGGGTTTACTTAGGTAAAACTTTCAAAGCATTTGGAGTGAGATTCAAAACAGTAGCTAAAGAGTTACAATGTGTTTCCCTGACTTTTATGGGGAAAGTCTTGTTCTAGATTTATTATTTTAATAAATCTAGAACAAGAAGAGAAGGAGTGAATGAATGAATAAATGAATAAATGAATGAATGAATGAATGAATGAATGAATGAATGAATGAATGAATTGGCCTGTGCCCAGTTTTAGTTCTCCTGGATTACTTCTGTTATCATGTTGTGTTGGTATGTGGGGACACAAGGGGTTGCTTGAAGCCTCAGGTGATAACCAGTGATCAGCTGGCCCAATGCACACATACACAGTGATTCTTCTGGGCCATGTAAAAAGATGTTAGACTCATTAAAGTCCTTCTTCTGGCATTTGCAAAAGGAGGACAGCTTATTTGTATTTTGAATTTGAAAGTGAAATAAGGAAATCTAACTTATCCCTGGCATAGCAGAAGACATTTCAAATAGGAAAGAGAAAGAAAACAATAAGAGAAAAAGGCCATAACTATAATAAGTGGAGTCAGTTTCCTCCTCAGCAGCAGGGAAGAATGAAGCTGTATAGGGAAGATCCACAATTGAAGCTGATAACTCCAATACCCAGAGTAGGTGCACAGACATATAGAGGTAGAGGAAAAACAGGCTGACTGTACAGACAGTTACTCAAAACATTTATATACAGGAATGTGGGACCAATCAGCAGCTTGTCCTCATAGCTTTTCCAGTTTCCTGGAGGCCTGTGAGCTCTCTGTTTTCTTAGGGATTACTGGTCTAAGGCACAAAATTTATATTACAACTATGTAATTTGTTTCAGTGGAGAGGGAAAACAGGAAAAGACAGGATTGTTTTTATTAATGTAGTACTAAATTGCTAAACACAGTGGTAATTTTCTAATTGCCCTTATACAATTGTTAGTAATTTAGTAATTTAGAGGTGGTGGGGAAAAAACAGTGAAGGGAAGTGGTTACATTTTAGGGGTGTGGACCCTAAAGTAACATAAATTTTAAAGTGTTGATTTGTATACAGGATGATTTTACCTTACCGAAGATATTAGTCTTAACTGAAGAACAGATATTTTCCATAGATAATATCCTCCTGGGAAGTTAAAGATAATAATAAATGATACTAAAAGTTAGTTACCAACATGTTAGGTATAACATACCAAACATGTTAGGTATATTAGTTATATGCAACCTGGTGTCATGACAGGGATTACATTTCAGAAGAAAAGCCAATGCTATTTCTTGTTTTGGCATAGCCTTCAGTTTTCAATACCTTCTTTTGTTTAGAAAAAAATCTTATTGGGTTTATTTATTCATCTGCTATACTTAATGATTTTAGGATGGTTATTAATAGTCTCTGTAAAATGGAGAGGCTTGTTTCCTGTATTATTGTCCTGATATATTTAAAGTGTCAATCATATCTCTTTTTATCCCTTGTAACAAAAATTCTTTCTGGATTTTTTGAATCTTAGAGACTTTAGTTTTTACTTTTTCCTCTGCCTTTTTCTTTTTTTGTCAGAAGACTATTTTCTTTGTCAAGAGAGATAAATTTGGAGAGCAATAAACTCTTTGTGTCATTATAAATGGCACATCTAGTGTATGTAATCTTGCTGATTTTCTTAAGATTTGCTTATCTTATATGCTTCCTGGAAAGACCGTTTAAATTGTTTTAGGACTTTGTCCTTGCTACATTTGGAATCTTTTATTTTAAGAAATATTTTTAGTGGTTGTACACAAAATTTGAGAAATTTGTATTTAAGGACTAAATTTTTGGCATCAAAATAACTATTATTTATTTTGAATATGAACAATTGTATTTGCATTCTTTTTCAAGGCAATAAAAATAAATTCAGAGCAACTCAGGCATGAGACAGGGATACTTAAACATGGGCTTTTATGTTAAGAATAGTTTCTAAGTCCTGCTTGCCAATTTCAAAAGAATTACCTATACTGGTAATGTGTTGTTGAAACTTCTGTCAAAAAGTTATTCTCTCATTTAAAAAATTAAGGAATACTTTGAAAGAAAGAAAATTAAGTCAAAAATGCAGCTCCTGGAAGTATCATCTCCTAAAAGTTCAGCAGTCAGTTTGGATCTTCTTAATCTATATGTGGTCAACCAGCTATCAACCAAAAAAGACAACACTGGTGAGTTTTGGGTATTCTGACACATTAGAAGTAGTTATTCTTAACTATTACAGCTGTTATTTTAGTTCTTGTTCTTCCATTTACAACTTAACCCTCAAGTAAATGTTGTTTTATTTTTAAAGTAAAAAATTGTATGTCAATACAAAAATGATGACTGAATAAAAAGTCCGGGCATAAGAGGAATCAAACAACTTTGGCTCCTACCTACTTCACCTTTAAAGCTTTATGAGTGTCCTGGTTCCAGGCCAGGCCAGGGTGAATGGCTGCAGTAGCCAGGACAGGCCTGGCCAGGACCCTGAGGTGATTCTTCACCTCCTCACATCATGCTCAGGGGAAGGAGTACTATCCAGTGGGGCAGTGGGAAGTGAGTGGCCAGGGAATGTTGTGCTCCCTGTGGTGAGCACCTGTCTGTGAATCATCACTCTGTTATGAATATGATTTCTCATTTCATTGCTGTTTCCAGTAAATTGTTCTTATCTCAACCCATGACCTCTACCTTTTGTGCCTCCAATTCTCTTCTCCATTCTCTGCAGAGTGATGGGGAGAGGGAGAAGGAAAAGAAAAGGGAGATGGAAAGAAGGGAGAAGGAGCGAGTGGCACATGGTTTGAAGTGTTTCAGTGGGAACACTAAATTGGAGAATGCTGTTTCTAACCACTGCATACACTTATTACCTTCCCCGTTTTATTAATTAATTTTACCCCACATTCACTTCTTTTCCTCTTTGCCGTTGAGTGGGTCCATTTCCCATTCATTTCCTTTTTCATAACTTTGGAAGCATTTGAATAGTCTTGTCAGTTATACCCAGATTATCTTTCTTAAAATCCATTATTAAACTTCTTGAGAAACATCACTAAAACTTGAGTCCTAGCTCTTTAAACATACACGTGGTACTTAAGGATATGGTTTAATGGTGGACTTGGCAGTGTTGGTTTAATGTCTGAATTCAATGATCTTAAAGATCTTCTTCAACCTAAATGTGATTCTATGATTCTTGTCATCCGTGACATATTCATAAACCAGATTATGGAATGTTTTTGTGTCTATGCTCAGAAGAGTAGAAGGTGACTGAGGGAAGGCAACAGAGCCTGTACATATGCAATGGCTGACTCAATAATTTTATACTATTGTGCCATTTATATTAGAGTTTTTGTGTTAGTAGCAAAGAAAGAAATAAATATGGCTTTAAATGTATTAAGAAATATAAAACAACAGCTTTTGTACTCCAATGAAAATTCAGGAACCTCAAAACTTTCTCCAAGCCCAGCACTGACATAACAAATACATTCATTTGCAGGTAACGTGAGGAAGCCAGTCCACGTTGATATTACTGAAGATGAAAAAAAACCTATCAAGAGACATAACTTAGAGCTTCCCACATCACCCCTACGTACACAACATAAATCAAACCTAGATGATCTTCAGAGCAGGTACTTGTATAAAATAGGCAATAGTTATGCAATAGCGAGGTTTTGGGAGAGGTATTTCATTATAGTCTCAACATCTGGGGTATTAAGAAAACATACCATTGTAAACAGGGAAGTTTCACAACCACTTCTGTTATTCCAGTGATACTCTTATTGTGAGAGAGTAATTAATGAATTCTGAATAAAAAAGTGCACATTAAGAGGAGAGATTTTTTTTAAAGGTTATGTGTCTGTACTCATGTCAGGTACTTATATTATCTCAAGGAGCAGGTTATTCAAACAGCATTACCCACTTAGACTGTTTTCCCATCCAGCTTTGGACACCCTAAAGTGACTGACTCACAGACAGGCTGCTCATAACTGCCTAAAAATCAGGCTGTTTCAAGATGTGTGGAAAGATATTCCTAAGTTATTTTGAAATTAATACTCAGAATATTTTAATCATTTGGATCTTGTATTTCATAGGCTGTTTTTATTCATTTTACAAGGTTACAAAAGCAAGTTTTGGACAGCAGAAGACAGCATCTCTCAGAAAAAGTAAAACACCAGCATAAGGTAAGTTTATTGTTCTTATAATATAAGACTAAAAATGTGCAGTAAAAAAAAAAAAGTATTTTTAAGTGATTTTTCAAAGAGTGGACAAATCTCATTAAATACATGGAGTCTTCTTCCTCTTTAAGACTATATTGATAAATTATTTTCCTGCTACTTCTTATATATTAATAGAAAAAAAGCTAAAGATGTGTTTATATCCATCTCTCCTCAGGATAACATTTGTGTGCATGTTTCAAATGATGTAATTACTTACATGTTTCCCTGAAATAAGCCCTTATTGCCTTAAGTTTTTAGTGAAAAGTCATATCAGAATATAGAAAATTTTCTTTTCTTTGTGGTTTATGTGCAGAGATGTAAAAGATGGAATGGCTTGATTACTGTGTACTTTATGCTTAAATCAAAACAGTTTTAGATAAATAAAAAATCTCTTTGTTATGTTTTGTCTAGCTGTCACAAGTAATGGAATTAGGCTATGTTGATTCTAGTATGGAAAATGAAGACAACATGGCAAGAGATTTTAGTGCTTGTCCGTTGTCCTCCTCTGGTTTTCAGTTCTCTAACTGTACACAGCTTTCAGAAGAAAATTTCAACACAAACCTAATGGGCAACATTTCGGAACAGATCTATGAAAAGAAGCTGCAAAACCAGGTTTGGGTAATGTTTTACTACCATGGAATTACTTTAAACTAAATTTCATTTATTTGGTGTGTAAAACTAGTGTAATGGTGATGGTAATTATAGTTGATCAACATTTTTTGTAGGCTGGTGGCAGTGAATATTCTGTATATACAAATATATTTATTTTATTGTCCACAAATAAGTTCAACTTAAGCTTTTGTTCACTGAACTCTCAGTGTTGCTGATATCTGCAGAGGAGATTTAATCACCTACCAGTGGATTTCTTTTGTTTCTGGCTTGTAAATTTGGTTAAAGAAACCTGAAATATATTACAGTTAGAAATACAGCTTTCTTAGACATAGTTAGTGTAACTGAGTGTTGCATGATCCCAGGTGATCCCATGACCTAATTTTTTATCTTTTAATGTCTCAATGATTAGCACAGTTCTTACAGTATTTTCAGTGCTCTGCTGTTTAACTCTTTACTTTTAAAAAACAGTTGAAAGTTATTTGTTCTGATGCATATTACTATTTTTTGTGTTTGTTAACTTTGTGATTCTTAAAAGACTCATCCTTAGAAAAGTGATAGCAAATACAATATGCTTTTTTAGCAATTATATTATTCAATGGAAATAATAATAAAAAAAATGTGTTTCACCAATGGCATTCTGAAGCCATTCTGAAACAATGGCCTTCAATGGTATTCTGAAGTCTTGAGGTAAATGAGGAAGAAATGCTCAAAGAGTTTCAGAAGGGGAGATGTTGGGTTGTTCAGGGAATGAGTAGGCTGAAACTCACAAGAATCTGACCTGAAGAACAAAGAAGCTCAAGATCAAAACACAAGCAGAGTCCACCTCTGTGTGCAAGAGAATGATTAAATTCTGGAAGCCGGTTTGGCAGAATCAGGGGATCCCTGACTGAAGTCAAATGCAAAGAGGAAGAGTGCAAGGAGGGATGGGCAATGCAGGAAGAAGACAGAAGCATCCCCTCAGCTTGGAGGGATGGCATTAGGATGGTCAGAGCTGAGAATCACAATGGGTGAGAAGAACAGCAAGGAGGACTTCTGCAGGTGTGTCATCAAAGAAAGGAAACCAAGAAAAATGCGGTCCACTGATAAACAGAGTTGAGACCTAGTGAAAAATGACATGGAAAAGCCTGAGGTACTCCAAGACTACTTTGCTTCAAGTTTTTCAGACAAGATTTGCTCTCTGGCTCATCTTAAAATGCAGTCAGGAGTTGGGGGGAGTTGAATGAACCAGTAGGGAAGGAACAAGTTAGAGAATCCATTGTGACCTGGACTTACAGAAATATATGAGACTGGACAGAGTTCAACCTAGTATATTCAGGGTGTTGGATGACATCACTGCACGGCAGATATTTATCACCCTTTTAAGGCTGTGGTGATCAGAGAAGCTTCCCAGTGAGAAGAAATACACAAATGTTATGTCCATGTGCAAAAATGTAAGCATGATCTGGGGAAGGATCATCTCACCTTTGTCCCTGGAAGGATTAAGGGACTAAGCTCCCAGAGGCAATTCCAAGGTACATGAGGAACAAGAAGGTGTCTGCAAACAGCCACCTTTTCCCAGATTTTCCAAGGTCATACTCTACCTGGTGAACCCTATTGCTTTCTGTGATGGAATTAGGAGCTCTGGGAATTGGAGAGAACAGCAGGCATTATTTACCTTGACTTTAGGAAGGCTTTTGATGAAGTTTCCTATGGGATTCTAGTAGCCAAAATGGGCAGCTATGAATCAGATGAATGGACAATGGGATGAGAAAAAACTCTCTGTTACTGTCATACTCAAAATTTAGCTCTGTTGGCTAAAGTTTGTTTGGCAACAATTGAGCTGTAAGGAGGTTTGGGCTTCTGCTGTAAAGATATGAAGAAATAAAAATAATGGGAAAATATGTATATTGTTTGCAATCCCAAGCTGAAAGTTTTAAAGACTGTAACAATTATGTATATTCACAGTTTGACAGCTTCTACTGTTTTCTCAGCCAGGTAACAGCTTCGATCAAGACCCTTGGAATACAAAACCTCCAAGCCAGTGTAGTTTCAGGAAGTCTGATACAGTGCTTCAGGAGCTGTTCAAGCCATTTGATAAGTAGGCAGTGATTTTACATTAATGAGGAAAATAACAGTCAAGTTTAATTAAGAAAAACACTAAAATAATTGGAACCTTATTATAACTTGTTTTTTTCACTGCCAGTTTTTCAAATTGAAATCAAATGGAAATACTAAACATACAACGCTATCTAAATTTGCTGAAAAGCAGCAAAATCTGAATTTTGGGTAGGCACTTGGAACCCTGATTTATTTTTTGCAATGTCACAGACATGACAGTGTTGCTTAATTCACCTTGAATGATAGCACAGATTTACTAAGAGGCCACGAGGAAGGGGAAGCTGCCCCAGGTGTTACTAGTTCTGGGCAACGTTGCAAGTGCTTTTCTGACAATCTTGATGCAATAGCAATTGAGCCTCTGCACGTGCATTATTTATACTAGGGATTCCAGGAACAAAGCATTTTCTTTTCCTTCTCTTTCATATGTGAGCTAGCTTTCTTTTTTCCCTATAATTGATTCAATAATACTTCTATGAGAATATACACTTTGTTTTTAAAAGAATGGATAGAAATAAAGAATATATTTCTCTTTATATGTGCTGATTAAAAATCTTTCAAATCACAGATGGTTTAGGGCCAGACTCATTTGTACTGAACATTTTATTTAATTTTCTCTCCAGAGGCTCTCCCTTCGACCCAGAGGTCTTACATAGCTAATCTTACTTTACTCTTTCTATTCCACAAATCTGCTATTTGGTTGAAAGTTCCTGTCCATCTCTAGTTTAGGCTGGATAGAGACATAAAAAGGACATACATTATTTTGCTGTTCCTGAAGTGTCTGCAGCCTGTTTGCTTGGGGAGTCAAGGCACCTATAAAATCACTGGCCAAATAATAACTAAACACATCAGCCACTTAAACTTCTACTCTTCTTGTGACTTCTCCTGGCTTTCTCCAGCAAAACGTAAAATGAGCATAGTATCCACCTTGCTGTACATCTGAGCGAATTCCCAAATAATATATTTACACTGAGCCCTATATCCTTATATCACCTACATCTCTCATTTCTCCACCAGCTATCAGGACTGCACTTATCTGCTTATGTCACATCTCCCATCTTCTATCCATTCATGGGTCACTAACAACATTTCCTTTCCAACTGCTCTTCAGATCCATTTCTTTGTATTGTCCTCATTTTGTTTTCATCCAATGTAGCCATAAATTCTCATACCTCAAGAGATCACAATTCTTCTGTGAAGGGAGTTTATTTCACTGCATGTGAAAAGTAGGGTGTCGATTTATCCGATTGTTTAATGTAACATACTGATTATGTAATTGATGTGCATAATTCTGAGACCTGTGGCACCTCAATGTTATTAAATATTAATTAAAAGATTTCATGTAATATTTCCTCATCTACTCTTAAATTTTACTTTGCATAACAAAATATTCAGCTGGAGTTGAGAAAGACTCTCTGAATTGCTTCACAAAATGGTTTTACCTTCCTCATGTAGATCTATCCAAGTATCCTCTGTAATAAACTCTAGTGTCTTTAGCCTTCTAAAGCTGTCCTGATGAGGTTTCTGTAATTAGAGAAAACTAGTTTCTCATTTAAGTTCCACAGAATCTTTATCCAGTTCCAAGTTTGCTGATCAAAACACCCCAGGCATTTTCTCCAGTAAGAGTTTTCGGTACTACATTTCAGTTTCAAGTTCTATTGTAGCCTTGCTCAGAATGTTTTTAAGAAAGAGCTTTTTTTTTTAATGGCCTTTTTTGCCAGATCTCTGTCCTTCAGAAGAATCTCAACTTTCTGCTCAGAGTTTCTGAAAGGTCAGTCAGCAGATCCAGCCTGGAAAAAAAACCTGTGAAAATATTAGATTAATAGCCAAGTAAGTGAAAGCGTCATGGTTTTCATGTCCATGATGCTCACATGCTAAAATCTTCAAAACCACTACTCTCAAAAGTGGGGTAAGGAAGTAGTGGCATAACAAAATGTCTGACTGGCCTCCTGAGAGTGGAACAGAAAAACTCTGTGCTGAATCAGGATTACTGAGTTCAAGTACAAATGAAAGTCACTTGTTATGGGCTTTCAGTATGGAGGAGAAATATAGTCTTAAGAAAACTATTTTTATGAATGGAAGAAACTATCTTCCTCTTTCTCCCTGATGTGGCTGCCTTTGGTCAGCTGGTGGAGCAGCAGTGACATACTGTGGCTGATTTTATAAATCACAATTCTCTGTCCATGGCTTTGTATATTTGGAGACATTAAGAAATAGAACCCCTTTTAAATCAATCTTACCACAAAGCAGATATAAAACATAATAAAATACACATTTTTTCTGTTGAAATACTGTATATTTAGGACAAAATCAAGTGTAATGAGCAGTGAAGTTTTTTTATATTTTTATCATAACGTGTTGTGTTAACAGTATTTTGCTTGTTTGTGTACTCAGCAAAACGTTTTTTTCTTCTACCCTTGTTATACCTCATTACCTATCCCCAGGCCAGACTACTTGAATTCTGCCAGGAAAAATCCAGTGATAATAGGCAGTAATGGACCAGAAAACAGTGAAGGAATAAAAGAACCAATATTTGATGCTGTAAAAGAAACTGCAGAACTCAAAGATGGAAGTGGTTGTTCCTTTCGGGCACTATTTGAAGATGAGAGTCAACCAATACATAATAATCCTTCCACAAAGCATTTTAATCCTTTTTCTAACCAAAGCAATAATGACATTTTTTTCACTGTTCCTGATGTTCAAAATCAAACTACCAACAGAAATAATTCTTGCGACCCTAGAAGGGTTTATCCTGCAATCAATGAAAAAGAAGATTCTGCAGACAGACCCCTTGAAGGCATTTTCACAGCTCCAGAACAGGTTTTCCTTAAAAGCAACAATGTGTCAAGTACAAGCTACAAGGAAACAACAGCAGTTCATAAAACACACTGGCAGAACTGTCACGAGGGGCATCACTACTTCATGCCCTGTGAAAAGAAAGAAAGAAGAGCAAAACTTAAAAAAATTGGTGCGTGTCATATTTTAAGAACATATATTGTGGATTTTATTGTCTTTTTAAAGACATATGTTCTTATAACCAGAGGTGTATCTGTCCCAGCTGAAAACATCATGAATATTCAGAATGCAGTCACATAATTTTAAATCCAACTATTTAAATTATTTTAAAAACTTGACAGAAACTTTTATATAAATGGTGTTTATTCTATTGCATTTCAAAATCAATGTTTACTTTTGTTTTTTAATTTTAGAGACATTTGCTTATCGCCATGACCAGCAGAATAGCTTAAAGGAGTATGTGCAGAATTATTCAAGAAAAAAAAGGTGAGTGTCATGTAAATTAACAATCTATTAACCAGCGATAACTGCAGAGACTTTGCTGAATTGGAGAAATACTGCTAAGAGCACAAGAAGGCAAAATTCTAAACAGTATTACCAAGGACTCAAGTTTTCTTATTTAAAATAGTACTGTACAATGTGAATAAATCTATGCACAGTAAAGCCCATTATGCCTCTGTGTATCTGCCCATAAAAAGCACACAGAAATTTGAAGTTTGAAGATCCTGAAGTTAAGCTGTTGGTCTGGCTTGTCCTCTAATATACTCTGTCTCATTCCACTGTCTACAGAGCAAGTATCTTCTCTGGGCTATGTGAATGCTCTGTGTTTTACTAAAGACATATTTTTCCAAGACTGATACATAACACCTTCCCTTTTTCAAAACAGCACTATATCCTGTCATTGCTTCAATTCCATTTTGCATTTCAACAGAAACAGTTTATGAAAAACATATTCTTGGTGTTAAATCTCAGGTTCAGAGACAAGTCTAGTGATCTCAGTATTGGGAAGCATTTAATGGCTACTGAAGACAAAGTAAATAGTGAAAAGTCACCAGTAAGGACTTTAACTCAGAAAAAAAAAATACTGGGGAATAATCACTTACCAGAGAACTTGTGTTTGCATTCCTCAGTGATGAAAGGTCTTTGAAAGAAACATCCTGGAATCAGAACCATGTCTTTGTATTTGAAGAGGTAACTTTTAAAAATATGTATTTTTTGTCAAACCCACTGTTTGCATGATTCATTTGAGGTGGATAAGGATTGTCCACAACAGTTAGAAACTGAATATAGCTTCACTGAATTAACTACCATGGAAGCTTCTTTTCCATCATGGTTTATATATGGAATTCAGAAAGAACTGCTGCTAGTGATGTGGCTCAGATAGACAGGTCCACAGTTCACATGGTCTCATTCACACTTTGGCTGATGCCTGAAAGACATTGTGTAAGCTATGCATCAACACTTAGGATCAGTTTCTGCACACAATGCCCAGACATTATCTGCAGGATGCTTCAGTATTTTAATATTTAATATTTAATATTTAATATTTAATATTTAATATTTAATATTTATATGTATACATATAAAAAGTGTTTCAGATGTCTTGCCTGTAGATGCCTGTAGAAGCCACATATGGTGCTACTCAGGGGTAAAAATACCTGTTAAAATAATTTGTGGTACAGTGCAGTGACTCCTTTATGTAATACAGAAACTGAATATTCCTCTCTTAACCTGAGATGCTGATCCAGCTGAACCCTCACTATTAATACCTCTTATTTTTTACTTATTTAATTTACTTACTATTTTTAACAGTTCACAACAGCACAAAAGAAAGGGTATAAGTTTGGACTGAGTTCATATCTTCATGAGATAGGTTAGTACTATTTGTATATTATCACTTAAAAATGTTTTTTCTATATGTGAAACTGAAACAATTACTTTTAAAGCCAGGGAGAATTATCTTTTTAGGATGTTAACTTTGATAAGGGCTTGTATTTCTGATTCACAGAGCACTGTAAAAAGACAACTAGCATTACCAGGAAACTAAGAATTAGCTGTGCTTGCTTTTCCTTGAAGAAATATTCTCTTCCACTAGACTATATGCTGTCACTCCACATCTGGGTAGAGGGAGGGAAGTAAGCGAGGCAATCCTACATCCTTCCTACTCCCTCAGTAGCTGTAGGGTCAGCTGTGCTGGCTGCATTTCAGAGAAGAAGATTGTTCAGGGGCTTCAAAGAGAGAAATAGGTAACTTGTATGGCAGCCAGTGTGCACATGGAGTCTGCTGCGCTCTCTTGCAGGCTGTGCTCTTGAGTCCCTCCTCCTTTTGGGTAGCACAGTTCTGAAGCTGATTAACAGCACAGCTGAGGCTTTGCGGGACCGATCTCACAATCTCTGTTAAGGTGTGAGAAGAGAAGAATTATCGCTAAGAACTAGATTGACCTTGCTAATATTTTGTTCTTTAAACAGTATCTTAAAACTGCATCAGAAATAGTAATGTTTAATTTTATATGCTGTACTTGAGAGTTGGATCTTTGGGGATTGTTCAGTGAGTAACATTTTCTTTCTTTTCCATCTAATTTTTCAAGATGTGGAGTCACCACTCAGCAGCCAGTCTCACAGTTACTCTCCAAGGCAGACTGAGAGTTATTTGAGCTCCAGTCCTGACACAGTGAGTAAATCATTGTGGGCTGGCACGGCTTTATTTGAATCATATCTCTGTGCCTGAGTGCACCCTAAGGGTGCATGTAGCTGGAGTCTTGTTTGGTTTTGTATGAGAGTACTTCATGTGTGATGAGGACAAGAAATTATGAGCTGTAAATTTTCATAAGTAGTTTGACAGACGTGTGGTCTGTTCTTTCGATAATGACTGGCCTCGTGGAATTACATAGCATGACTGTGGGAAGAGGCTAAGCAATGTTCTGTGCTCTTCCTGTATGTATAGCTGCCTTACATTACATGTTTGTAAAGCAGAATTATTTGACACACTGTGTTTTCAGTCATTTTTGAACACAAAAATGCCATGGTGTAAGATTATAAATTACATGTGAGAGTGGAGGTCTGCATTGGCCACCTTCTCTTCACCAAGAGCCATCCTTGGAAAAGGAATGAAAAAACCTGCAAACAACCAAAGGCAGACTGTTCTGGCCTTTATGTTTATTTCACTTAGCTATTAGCAAGTCATTACTTTAGTCCTTAGTTACTGAACTATTTGAACAATTACAATTGCACAATTCTGTTCAAACAGCCTGAAGAGGAAGACAAAGCCAAAAAGAAGGAATATCTGAATGAACGGCCCTTGAAGACACATGGTACCAAGCTATTCTCAGGCTCAGCAAGCAGAGAGGCCACCAAGAGCTCTCACACCCAAAGTGTGGCTATGAAGCCCAGAAGTACTTTGGGTAGAAAAGAAGCAAACAATCTTCAGGAGAAGGACTCTAATTTTTGTGCCACAGAGGAAAATAAAACCCACACAGCCCTGTCTCAGGGCCCATCACACCCTGCCTTTAAGAGGGAGCATGTCACTAGCAGCAGCAGGTGCAATGCTTGGTCGCAGACCGAGGGCTCTGTGACCGTAGAGAAGGTGGATGTGGGCACCCAGTGTGGCACCCCGGGGGTGTGCAGCTGTGGCGGAGCCCTCCCCGCTGCCCGCAGCCCAGGCGAGTTCTCTGCTCCCGGCTCTGCCGGCCCCGCAGGAGGGCACGAACGGCCGGCGCAGGAGGCGCCGCAGCCCGCGGGCTCCGGCAGCGCGGCCGGGACAGACGCCTTCTCCTCTGAGACCGAGTACCTGAGTTTGGCTGGCAGGAGGACTCTAGAGGTGCTGAACTACATTGATAAAATGAAGGCGAGAGATAAGCAGCGATCAACTATAATGCCATGTTAGGAACACAATAGTTTCATCCTGTTCTTCAGTGTATTTCATTCAGTCAGCATATTCTGATTTTTCTCGCATGGTTAGGCAAAATATACTTTTACTGTTTGTTTGCTTTATCTATCAGTAATTAGGGGCTTCTTTCTACCTACTGCTATCTCAAAGCATGGTTTTCTATAGATATCCAAATATTAACAAAGGATTTTACAATATCCTGGTAAATAAAAACATTAGGAATTATATTGGTTTCCTCACCATATATCTGCAGGATTCTTTAGAATTGATTGACTGTGTTTCTTTTAAGGTAATGGGAAGTTGTTGTTCTACTTCAAAAAATATTTAGTGTGGCTCTGAGTTCAGAGCCATTGTCTGATTCTCACCAGTTTTAACAGAAAAACTTGCCTTTGTCATGTGTTCATACTAAACACAAGAATGGGAAACAGAAAATGTACATCTGCACACATAGAATACAATGTAATTTAAAAACAGCTAATTTATTAATTTTTTAAAATGCTCAACTTTCTACAGCATTCATTTATTTTCTGGCTGTTAATCTAAAAAAAAATCTTCCATGTGTTTCTGTATTCTGTCTGCGAACTGAAAATCTGAACTACTTGCATCTTCATTTCAGTATTTGTGTGAAGCTACAAATCACAACAAATAAAAGTTTCAGATAATACTATTTCTAGATTATATTCTTGCCTTCTAAAAAGTTCCTGGTAAAGGTGTCAGGGAAACTCATTGATACCAACATCTACTTACAGTTCCATACACCTTCACTTCTATACAGATATCTCTCGATCTTAACTATGTGTGTGTATATATATAAACCAGTGTGTGTGCATATATATACATATACCTATGTATATGGTGTGCTGGCATAGTGTACATGCTGTGCTGCTGTGTATATGCTGTGCTGGCATTAGCCGCCTGGCTGCATGCAGGGTTCCTCTTCTTCACAAACTGGGCTGGGGCAAAAGCTGTGCTGGAGACTTCCTCAAACAGAACAGGAGATTGGCCTCTATAAGTTTAATATGTGGTGTTTTCCCCTTGGCGTCTGCTGTTAAAAGATTCACTGCCCTTATTCCCCCCAGGTCAGGGTTTTTTCTATGCTTTGTAGAAGAGGTGAGTGTCACTCAGCCTGGATGAGACTTGTCACCATTCTTTGTCTCTGTTCTCATCATCAAACTAGTGGCTTTTTTACTGCTGCTTTTTTTTTTTTTTTTTTTTTAAGCTAAGAGCCATTTTTAAGAGAAGGTCTACATTGCTCAACAGTTTTTAGGTTTATGGCTGTGCTATTTTTTAAAATAGTAGCTCATAAATTTCAGTGGGCTGTTCTGTACTTGGAAGAAAATAGCATTGTCTTGTATATGTATAAATTGCATACATAGGAAGTGGTTTGCACAGCCAGACTTCTAAACCATGTAACTATCACTTAGCCAATTCACTGCCCACTTCCTAAGGCTTGACATAAGCAGATTTTCTTTTTTAGGTTGCCTCAATTTGTTGTCAAAGCAAACTCCCTAATTTTTTTTAAGGTGCAATATTCATCTTCTTCACAGGAGATATAATTTATTTGAATAACAGCTATGATTTTCTGAAAGCTCAGCTGTTACCCATGGTTTCTAAAGCATAGTTTTTCACTCAGTATGAGAAAGTCAATTCAGATTGTGCCACACCAGCAGCAGCCCATGCTGGCTTGAATGTTGCTTTCTCAACAGTCCCTCACACCTGGTACACACCTGCCAGTCATTCCAGTGGTGTGTGTCCAGCTTCCAGCCTCCCCCACAGCTGATGTGTCCCCAAGGCCTGCCAGCCTGCAATACACTGTGGCAGAGGCCAGAGAGTGGCATGTAATAGCTAAAACCTCCAGCACTGTATGCTTTAGACTAGAGGGGTTTTATTACCCCAGCAGATGTAAAATTGCCTCATGGCCAAAGAGTTCTTTGGTGTCTGGATGAGAGAGGTGCTGGTGACTCAAATAGAGATGAACTGCCATTAACTTGCAGTGGAAGTTCTGCTCCTGATGTCTCTGATGGGGGCATTGTTGCAGGGACTTTGAAGCCGTGGTTAGTTTTACACTGAAGTGAGCTACCCACGCTCAGGAAGATACTGCAGATCTGCAGAGCTGGCCTCTGAGCAGACATATCCCCAGTCTGTGCCTATGAACCTAACGGCCACAGAACGCAGGCTGGAATGGAGTTGGGAAAAGAGGGACAGTTGCACCATATGGATGTATGTGTGGGGGGTTTCAAATGCTCTTTATTAAGTTATTGCTCATATTTATCATCGTTAAAAGCCTCTCAGTGTGTATTGCTTATTTTCACTTCAGCCACTGATAGAGAAGATCTCAGGATCTGTCCGGTTCCAGCCATATTTCAGCCTGGACTGCACTGAAATTCCACTGCTCAGTGCCAGAAACTCACCCTCTGACTGGCTGTACATAAGAGCTGTATATATGTCTCTAATGCAGTAATTCCCCACTTGGGATATCAATCACTGTAGATAATCATGTTCCAAAGCCTTTGGATGGATAATTTGAATATACATTCAAATTACATTCCCATTTTTACCTGTAATTGCAAAGCAATCAGAAGAAAGTAAACTATCTTTGTAGTGGTTTGTGTGCTGGCAATGATGACAACTAAGGCTGCATGCTCTTTTTAGCCACTAGACAAATATTCTAAAGAAGTTACATTACTATTATTGCAATTAAAGAGGCTTGTGCTTTCTCCTTAGCTCAGCACCAGTCTGCCCCTCTGCTTGGGTGCTTTCTTCCCCTTGATCTTTTTTGTGACTTCAGGGAAGAGCTGAGTTTGGTTTAATAGCACGTAGTAACCTCAAACTGCTTTCTTCAGCTGATAATTCAGCAGCTGATGCTATTAATCCATCAATATTTGTAGTCTACAGTAATGACTGTCATCTCACTAAATGCATTCAGGCCCCACCAGCTTTCTCTGAGGCAACAGCTTAGGCAGAGGCACCCCTTTTTCATCCATGCTATTCTTCCTGGCAGCGTGCTGAGCCTCCAGGGAGGCCATGGAAAGACACATGTTTTTAACTGTTTGGTAAGCATCAATTATAAGTAGAATTTTGTTGGGGAAAAGGACAGAAGGGTACCTGTAATTAACCAAAAAAAAAAAAAAAGGAGCAAATTGGTGGCAGTCAGTGCTTCTAAACAGAGATTGAAAGACTCTCACTGAAAATACTACCATAATCTTCAGTCAGAATCACTTTTAATAAGCATCTTGTAACGTAATTTCCCTCAAAATCAACTCTAGTAGCCTGCAGGATAAGGTTTTCTGGGCAAGCACAAAAAGAAGTTTGGTTGTTAATGGGCAGTTTGTTGCTGGATGTTCTGCTAAGAGCCTCCACAAACTTTGTAGAAATTCTTATTTCATTTTCATGAAGGATTATCATTATAGGAAATTAGAGGCTTAAGTCTTCATTCTAATAATTATTTCTATGGTAGAAACTGTGAATTGACTTTTTAAGGGTTTTAATAGATAGCAGATTGAGGGAGGATAAGGTTTCCTGAAAAAAATATTTAACTCTCTGCATTCACTGCCTCCTCTGTCCTCATGAAAAGTCAATGCCCTTTCTGCAACACTTCTTCAGCCTGTTGTCCCTGACAGCCTCTGACAGGTTAGAGATGACAATCCCAGTCACCCACATCAGACTTGCTTCTGCAGGGCTGGTGATGTGGAACTCCAGCCAGGTGTCCTGACTCTCTGAGCTGAATACTGAACGTTGCCCCCTCTCCAGCCCCGCTGCAGTGCCTCCACACCCCGATGTGCTTGCTCTGGAGCCACGGCCCCGCTGCAGTGCCTCCACACCCCGATGTGCATGCTCTGGTGCCACGGCCCCGCTGCAGTGCCTCCACACCCCGATGTGCATGCTCTGGAGCCACGGCCCCGCTGCAGTGCCTCCACACCCCGATGTGCTTGCTCTGGTGCCACGGCCCCGCTGCAGTGCCTCCACAGCCCGATGTGCTTGCTCTGGTGCCACGGCCCTCTGGCTGTGCAAGCCCACAGGAGCAGCCTGCGGTGAGCTCTGGCACAGCGCACGGCTGCAGAGGGTGCTGATGCTGCTCTGTGGGAGGTGATGGGGGATCTTGGGCCCAAACACAGAAGGGTGGAGAGAGAGTGAGTCAAGATGAGGCAGGAGGCCAAAAGATGCCTGTTGAATTATTTAACAGAGCTGAGAGAAAACATGTCCAAATGAACAATTTATTTGTGCCCGTTTGCAGAGAGAGTGCTGTGATTTACTGCCAGTGTCACCCTCAGCATATGGGTGCTGGCCTGGCCCAAGGAGCCAGACCTGTGGCTGATCATAGCACAAACCAACATGTCTTACTGCAGAGGATTTATTTCATTTCCTGGGCTGGAGTCATTATTGGCAAACAGGAGATCTGTAAGGAGCTTTGCTCTCCAGAGAAGCTGCATTCCATGCGAATAAATGAATTTTTGGAGAACCCCAAAGCAGCTGAAGCTGGCAGGGGTCTCCAAGCTTGCCCAGTGCAAGCCCCACTCATAGCAGGGCCAGCTGGAGCAGGGTACTTTGGGCCATGGCCAGCTGCTATCACTGACACCCACCCTGGGGCTGGGGAATAAGCTCTGCCAGGTATGGAGCTCCAGGGAAGTGGTGCCTGCTCACAGCAGCTGCAGCAGATGGAGGCAGCCACTGCCTGAGCCATTTCCTCCCTGTGCTGAGAGCAAGGCAGGGGCCTGGGCTGGAGGAAGGGGAGCTGTAGGTGTGTGGGGAGGGAGGCTGGGTGCTGCTGCTGCCCTGCCCTGCTCCACCTCCTTAGAGCATAACTCCTGCCTCTCTTGCCTCTCCTCACCCACATTTCTGTGCAGCAATCAAGAGCAGCAGTGTTTCACCCCAACACCAGCTTGTCCCTGAGTGCACAGCCACAGAGCTCCTCCAGCGGCCCTGCAACCTTGGGCACTCATCACTCTCCCACCAGGAACTGTGAGGGTCCCAATGCCCCCAGTGTATCCCTACGAATCCCACCAGCCACAAGGAAGCTGGACATATAGAGAGAATACAAAAGCTATCTCATCTGGTACCAGGCTGGGGGTGGCAGTTAGCCTTCACCCAGCTTACAAAAACTTTGCTTGCTCTTGACTTTTTCCCCATCATTTTTAGCAGCTCATGAAAGGAGAGCAGTGGGGATACCAGCTCCAGCTTAGTTCCAAAACTTCACAGGGCATCTACCCCTCCCTCAGCCCCCTCAGCCTACCTCCAGGTTATGAGTACCTCCAACACCAGGGAGAGCACAGGAGAAGCCATACAGCATGAGGCTGTGACAAACCAGTGACAGGGCACACTGATCAGACATCCTGGACAATGAAGGAGCTCACTGGGAGCAGTCAGACAGTTTTGATGCCATCTCACCATGAATATATTAGAACAAGTACCAATTTCATGGCAGTGCTTATTCCAAGACACCACTTCCCAGTGGGGACCTGGCCACCTGCTGCAGGCCACAACTGCCACTTTAGGGATGGAGAAGTCATCTGGTACTTGCAGGACAGCTCCTTACATGACTGCCAACAGCCTCCCCTTTGCAACTACAGCTATGCTGAGTGACCCTGAGTGAAGGCTTCAAGTGGAAAATCTGTATGTGTGATTTGGTGACAGCTGGATGGGGACATGGGGTCTTACCAGCCTCAGCTG